CAACCTAATTTCCTTCTTTGGTAGGATTACTGACCTAGGGAAGTCTATGAGGTGGGTGCACAACTAGGTGAAAGACCGTGCTCAGAGTAGTTATCAATGGTTTGCTATCAAATTCGGAGGGTGTATCTGGTGGGGTCAGTCCTCGGTCTGGTACTAGTCAATATTTTCATTAATGACATGGATAATGGAATAGAGAGAGTACGCTTATAAAATTTATAGATGACACCAACCTGGGAAGGGTTGCAAGCACTTTGAAGGACAGCTTTACAATTCAAAATGATCTTGACAAATTGATCTGAATTCAACAAAATGAAATTAAAGAAAGACGAGCACAAAGTACTTCACTTAGGAAGGAAAAATAAATGCACAACTACAATGGGGAATAACTGGTTAAGTGGTAGTACTGCTGAAAAGGATCTGAATATGAGTCATCAAAGTGATGCAGCTGCAAAAAGAGCTAATATGATCCTGGGGTGTATTAACAGGAGTGTTGTATGTAAGACACAGGAGGTAATAGTCATGCTCTACTCAGCACTGGTGAGGCCCCAGCTGGAGTACTCTATCCAGTTCTGGGAACCACAGTTTAGGAGAGACGAGGACAAATTGGAAAGAGTCCACAGGAGAGCAACAAAAAAGGTAAAAGTTTTTAAAAAAACTGACCTCACAGGAAAGATTAAAAACCTGGGCATGTTTCTTCTTTTCTTAAGACTATTGAGAGGGGACCTGATAACAGTCTTCCAATATGTTAAAGGTTGTTATAAAGAAGACGGTGATCAATTGTTCTCCGTGTCCACTGAAGGTAGGACAAGAAGTAACGGGCTTAATCTACAGCAAGGGAGATTTAAGGTATATATATTAGGAAAAAATTTCTAACTAGAACAGGCTTCCAAGGGAGGTGATAGTCACCATCATTTGAAGCTTTTAAGAGCAAGTTGGACAAACACCTTTTGAGGATGGTCTAGGTTTACTTGGTCCTGCCACAGCACAGGGGGCTGGACTTGGTGGCTTCTTGAGGCCCCTTCCAGTCCTATGTGTGTGCATAGAGCTCCACATGACCAACAGGTGCACCCCGTTCGAATCCCAGCTGCCTAGATTGGAAAGTTGAGCATCTGCATAGTGGAACTGCCCCCTCCTAGTGTGCATGTGCATGCGCTTGACAAGTGGCCAACACAGAGCCATCAGGTTGATTCCCAGCACAGCCCTGGGGGTGGGGAAGTGAGGGAGAGAGATCTTGTGGGTTTGCACAGTTCCTATGAGAACTGGCCAGCAGCAGGATGGGTGGTAGTGCAGAGCCTGGGGGATGGGGACCCTGAACCAACCTCCTTCCACCTACCCTGCCAAGGGGACAACCAGTATTTTGCATTATATTTGTTATGTGTTTATGAATATTGACTGGTAAAGTAATATGTTTATTTGAATAATGGTGTTTTAATGAAAACAAAGGAAAATCAATTTAATTGCAGTCTTACTAATGTCCTCATACAGCAAAATAGTCAAGCATGTGAGTAGTCAACATGCCAAATTAAGCACAAGCATAACCTTTGGAGGTTCGGACCTAAGTTGGCAATTTTCCTTTAGTGATTTTTTTTCTGAAAACTAGATTTATTTCGGCCATATCCAGATATAAACTTAATTAGACTTAGGAAGGGATTTTGAAAAACATTTAGTTACTGGTCTAACTGAATGAAGTCATTGGTAAAACTTCTACCCTTCTTTGGTATTTTCATTGGATCAGACTACCATTTTCCCCCCAAAGAATTCATTACCTAAGCAAACTAATTTTTGGTCTCTTTTGACCTGTAGAAATAGCAATTTTTGCCAAATAATATGTCGTTTTAAGAACTAAACTAGAAAAATAGCTAAGAATAATCAATGTTATAATCAACTGAACGTCTAATGCTAACTATGAAACTTCACATCCATATACATCTCTACCTCGATATAACGCTGTCCTCGGGAGCCAAAAAATCTTACCGCGTTATAGGTGAAACCGCGTTATATTGAACTTGCTTTGATCCACTGGAGTGCGCAGCCCCATCCCCCCGGAACACCGCGTTATATCTGAATTCGTGTTATATCGGGTCGCATTATATCAAGGTAGAGGTATACCTTTCTCCAGATTTCTTCATCAGCATGATTTAAAAATCAGAATCCTTTCCATAGTATCATTTTTGTTAGCATGAGCACAGGGATTGTAATATATGGCAGATTGACAAGGAAAGGAGGATAATGTCCTTGTTCATATAATTTATAGTAGAGGGAGAAACATAACTAGGAGAGTTCTCAAGGCAAATGCCGTTTCAAAGTGAATGTACTTTATTTCCTGGTTTAGAAATATACTGTTTGTTTTCATTCTTAAATTGTTTGTTTCTTTCAGTAAATGTAAAATCTGACAGATATTATTTAATCTGGTGGAAAAATTTAGAAATCCAGTTCTGTGGAGTGAAATGCTGAATATTTGGCCTGGAAATTTTAAAAGTGCTTGTTTCAGTAATCCTGTTTGTCATGGTTAAGTCAAGTCATTGAGGAAAAACTTGACAACTTGATTATAAGAGTGCTTTAGGACAAAAAGGTGTAACCATCTGTGCATTCCTGTGAGTAAGAAATAACTTTCATGAACAGAATGACTGAATTCAAGATTAGCAGTATGAGTTGCAGTAAATTTTTAGAAGTGATCACTTTCATACATTTTCCATATTATACAAACAACTGTACCTATTGTATGAAGAAATTTAACATCATTTTTAAAACAACAAAGGTGAATGGAACGTGCAGGAACATAGCAAGCTTATTTTAAAAAAAAAATCTAGTGTTATTCATTTATAATCCAATCCTGACCAAAACTATCACTGAAATTGGTGGGAGGTTTATGGGTGCATAAGGAATCCACAGTTAAATTTATAATAGGTATATACTTTAGAATGTACTTAGTAAGTAAACATTGTGTAGGTATGTAGCATCAAGCATGAACCAACCATTGTCCTGCTGTGTCTGCTTTCTCTTTTTTACCTGGTGAATCTAGTGAGAACAGAATTTCAAATTCATTACTAGAATTGGTTGGGAAATGCCTTTTAATTTAAAGTTTTCCTCAAAAAATTAAAGCAAAAATATTTTGGCTGAAAATCAAAATATTTAAATTCTGAAATGCCACCATGGTGCCTCATGGGAATTGTAATTTCAGTGTCTCATGCTCCCATACTCCCGTATAGGCCAGGCTCCCTGATCAGGTGGTTTGCCATGATGCACCACAGTCTTCCCTGAGGGAAGGCAGTGCATCCTGGTATTCACATGCCACGGTATATCATGGAGGTAAAGTCTGGCTGGGCAGCCCAGCCACGTAGGAGAATGGGACAGCAGCATTTGAGAATCAAAGTATTTTATGTTTCAGCCAAAAGATTTTGGTTTTCAGTTGAAAACATTTTTAGTTTTCATGCAGTTTTTGACAAACAATTGAAATATTCTGGTGAAAGCAGAGAACTTTTTGCAAAAAGTTTGTTTAGTTAAAACTCCAATTTTTCATCAAGAAACATTTTTAACAGAATTTTTTGACCAGCTCTACTCATTATTGAAGCAGATTATGTATCCAACTATAATGCTTGAAAATATTAAGTTATAAATGCAGCTTTGGTTGTGTAGTTTACTCAGGATTTATGAAAATGCCCATCCGTTTATGCTTTCTCTGCTGTTAGAGAGGTATATATTATATTGATGACTACAACTTGAGAAAAATGTAATGTTTCTTATTCATTCAGAAACATTTATCAAGGCTTTCCCCTGTCTTTATAGTAAATAAATATTACCATGAATTAAAAATCCCTGAGTACTTTTCTATTTCACAGTAAAGAACAAATGAATACACATTTTTGAGCTTGAGAACGTTAGTAAATAAATTTTCACTGTTAATTTCAAATTATCCTGCTTCTGTAGAATACCCATTTTAGCAGATATGTGAAATTTTGAAATAGTATAGCTATTTGGAACTCAATATAAAACTTTACGGTTTTTTACACAAATTTATCCTTGTTACATTAAAGGTAGTGAGCACATGAGAATGTCAATTGATTGTGCTTGCCAAGGGAAGTGATGAGATATTAGGGGGCAAGATTGTACCTGACCATAGGTGTACAATAGTGGCTGATGGAGTCAGAAGCCTTCCTTATTCTTGAGCAATTGCATCTTTGAGCATAAGAAATGCATTGAACTAGCACTGCCAGTTGCACAAGCTTCCATAAGGGGATGAGGAATCTCCAGACCAGCAAGCAGAACTGACTCCCAAGTATTCTTGAAGAACAATGACTCTTGCCGCTCCCCTGAGGGAATGCCTCAAAATTGCCATCTACTGAGGATTGTGCATAAATCCCCAATTCAACCCCAAACCACCATGTGCCATATTCTTGAAGTTGGGTTTGAAAGATACTAGTCCATATGTGAAGTTTCAGAACCCTTTGCCTACACCTCCAACATTTCTCCCCTATTCTGGCATGCAAAATACTATAGAAAAGTTCTCTATGCTTTTTTGAAATAACATACTTTAAAAGTATATATGCTATTAGGCTGTTTAATGAAATGTAATATGAACAGAAATATTAACTAACTGTAAACTTGTGGAGTAATGTGGTAAGTCAGGGTAGAAATAAGAACGGCATAGTGCATCACCTAAACATTACTGAACACATGCATTGCTAAATTAAAGATTATTTATTATTGTTGTTTTATTTATTTTACTCATCTACTATCAGTAAACACAATTGCCCTTTTGGAAGTTTCCTTACTTGAGCATTGATAGGTTTATGAGTATTTTTAAAATAAGCAACACAAATATTTCATGTACTAATTAAGGCAACTGTGGTTGTATGCAATCAGGCAGTGCCAGAAAGAGTTTTGGTTCTCTAATTGTTACATGTTTAGAGCAGTACACCTTGTTATAAATTATTAATTGAGCTTTACATTATGGCCAGTGTTTTTTGAAATATTAATCATTTCATTTTATTTTCCCCCAGCTCCTCACTTAGAAGTGTATCAACTGGATCCTCAAGACCTTCCAAAGTATGTCTCGTATGTGGGGATGAGGCATCTGGATGTCATTATGGGGTGGTTACCTGTGGCAGTTGCAAAGTTTTCTTCAAAAGAGCAGTGGAAGGTAAATGTTCATGTGGGTGCTTCTTTTATTCACTTTCTGATTTTGTTATATTTTCATGATTAATTCTGCAATGTTGTTAGCCTTAAAAAATATTTGTTGTATTAACTCAGCAATTATGAAAAATACTGCTTTAGAAAACTTCCAGGCATTTTCCAAATCAGCTTCCTGCTCCTCCGCCCACAATTGTTTTTTCGGTTAGACATACAGAAAATAATTGTATTTGGTCACAAATATACCCAAATCTTTCATGAGCTGTAAGAGAATTTTGGATAAAGACTGGGAAGCATCTGACTGTGCTTCAGAATTCCATTACTCCCATAACATGTAGCTTCTATGCTACAGTAAGACTTATGAAGACCAGCTATATAACCATAGACAGATGTGCCTAGGACTCATTAATATATTCCCCCTCCACTGCAAAAAGAGAGTGGTGACTTGAAGGCCAGTGAATCTTGGTGAAAAAGCCTCGATCGGAGGGTCTCCAAGGTAAATGATGACGGTCTACACCTGCATTAAGATTTTTCTCTCCAAGACTACATTTTAATTGGTATTTTTAAATAAGGCATTTCCATTACCAAGTGGGTGTTTGGGCTGTTGTCTTTCCTTTTATTATGCTAGCTAATGTACAAATGCTCTTGCTAGGGCACCTCTGAAAGAATTCATGGGGGTAACCTTGAGTGCTGCAGGAGCTTGGTTTTGCCTCGTATGAATTGGTTTGAGCTCGGAATAAAATAAAAAATATTATTTACAAACTCTCTGTAAATGTAAAATATTTCCAAGTGGCAGACGTTATATTTTCACTAACAAGGACTAAGGTTTGTGTAGGGCTTTTTGTTGCCTATCTAGCAAATAAGAAGCTTGTGAGTAAATAGACTGCTCCTCCAGTGACTATGACAAGAGGCCTATCCTAAAGAGGAAATGTATTCTCTACAGTACCCAGCTGGTTCTGGGGAAGAGTAGAGTCTGACCAAAGAGGTGTGATATTAATCATATGATTAAGTTCTTTTTGCAGGCCTTAGATGAGTTCCTTGATAACAGAATAGCAAAACGGATTTGTACCCTGTGTTAAGTAGACCTACAGGGCCAAGAGAGTTTTTCACTGAAGTCAAGTCTTCATGTGATATCCATCTTCTGTAGTCAAAAGGTATCCTCCTAACTGAAGCAAACTGGCTGGAATATGAACACATGGAATTAATTCATCACTTTACAAAGCATTCAGAACTAGCTTTGTAATTTTCTCTAATAGTCGTGTAGTACCAGGTCTGATATTCTAGTCCAGGGGTGGGAAAACTTTTTGGGCTGAGGGCCACATCTGGGTGGGGAAATTGTATGCAGGGCCAGGGCAGGGGGTTGGGGTGCGGAAGGGGTGTGGGGATGTGGGAGGGGGTGCAGTGTGCAGTGTGCAGGAAGGGGCTCAGGTCAAGGGATTGGGGCAGAAGAGGGGTACGGAGGAAGGGGCTCAGGGAAGGGGGTTGGGGTGCAGGAGGGGGCTCAGGGCAGGGGTACAGGAGGGGTGCAGAGTGGGAGGGGGCTCAGGGCAGCAGTTTGGGGTGCACAGGGATGCAGGGTGCAGAAGGGAGTTCAGGGCAGGGAGTTGGGGTGTAGGAGAGGTGCGAGGTGCAAGCAAGGGGCTTAGGGCAGGAAGTTGGGGGCGGGGTGCAGGAGGGGTTTGGGCTCCGGCCCAGTGCCGCTTACCTAAAGTGGCTCCAGGGTGGCAACGGCATGCACCGGGGCCAGGCCAGGCTCTCTGCATGCCTGCCCTGGCCCCACGCCGCGCCGCTCCAGGAAGCTCTGCAGCCCCTGAGGGAGGGGGGCGGAAGGCTCCGCATGTGCTGCCCTTGCTGCGTCTCCAGGTACCTCCCCTGAAGCTCCCATTGGCCGCGGTTCTCCGCGGGGGGTGGTGCCTGGAGGAAAGGGCACCAGCACGGAGCCCTCTGCCCCCCCCCCCCACCTGGGGGCCCGCAGGGACGTGGTGCCGGCGGCGCCACAGACCGGATCCAAAGCCCAAGGAGCTGGAGCCGGCCCGTAGGCCATAGTTTGCCCACCCCTGCTCTAGTCTCTTACCCTCTGGTCTGAGTTTTTAGCTGCTCGTTTTCCTACTGTCTGAACTGGAGGATTCAAATTTATGGTACCGGATAATTTTTTTTAACATAAAATCTTAGTAGATGGGCACGCCAGAGGCTAGTTTGGTCTGGGTTTCTATTACTAATATCTAAGTGGCCAGGTTTGCCCCATAGCTCTAATGTATGAAGCACTACCACACTTCCTTAGTTTCCTCCTACATATTCCCTTCCCAGCAAGTGTCTACCTACTTTTAATTTAGTGTAAAATTTCACTAAAATAAATGTTTCAAGTTATTGTATAGCTTTAAGTTTCTAACATCTTGGTGTGCTTATTTGATGGCTTTCCTTTCCCTTCATAAAATTCTAAAGAAAGTACCTCCTACATTTTAGGAGGTACCAGGGGACTGAGATTTGGTTTTCAAGTCACAGAAACCAAACTTCTGGTGGGGAAAAAAAACCCTTAATCAGCAATAAATGTAATATTAAAATGCAAGTACAAGTAATTACTGAATAATTAGCATTCAGAGTTAACTCGGTAGACTGAAATCTTTTTGTCCTACAGGTGAAAGGTGAAGAGTAGAAAGTTGATTTTGTTTTAAATGGTTGTTTCACAGAGTCACGGAATAAGGGATTGTTATTTTGTAATTAAATAGTACAAACTTTGAGCAATTGTTAAATTTGTTTTGCATAGTTTGGAAACGTAGTTCATTTTGTAAAGATTTTTCCATACCTTCAAAGATGTATGTGTTTTAACTTTACAGACTTCACTAGTACTTCTCAAAAGGCATAAAGTTAAGCATGTATGTAAGTTTCATGAGTATTGGTGATTATAATTTTTCTTCACCATTTCATTTCTAAAATAATTATAGGCATTAAAATACGGTACTGTAGGGATAAACACCCTAAATATACTTATACACATTTCCTTAGCACACAACTATTTTGTTAAGTTAAATGAATGGCTCTTTATGGGTGGAGGTATATGCAGTGGAAAACACAAAGGAGTGTCAGAAAGGAAGCTTGGAAAAATGTACCAAAAATGTATATTAATTTAGCATCATCTGAAGAGCTACTCCATTTTTTAAAAAGCTCATTTAAAATGCACTTCATGTGACAGATTTGAGACAAATGTACAACAAAAATAAGTGCCTATTTACATACATTATTTGAGGGTTTTCTTAATTTTATTGACATATTTTTATTAACTTCTTTGGCTTATATCTATGTGAAGATGTATGCAAGAATTTGCAGTAACACTGTATAATATATGTATAATATAGAAAGTAGGAAGTATGATATTAAACATATTAATTATGGAAGTGCCACTCATGGTATCTTAGTTAAAGTTGAGTTTTGCACTTAAAGTAGGGATTCAGGCACTTCATTATGTATGAAGAATACAGAAATTCTCCTCAAAATTATATTATTTAGTCTTTGAGTGAATTTTCTGAGAATTTACAAATAAATTGGCTAATTACTTTGAGTTAAAATTAATATTAAAAATAATCCTTTAAGATATTTAGAATTCAGTGTTTCCTTCTTTCTCTTAAATGACCTAAACAGAATAATGCAGATGTTTTTAACTCTGCTTATAGTTAGCACTCTCAGAAATCTTGTACATAGGCTATATTTGAAACTTTTTTTTAGGGTTAATGGACATTTCCCCCCATTATTTTTATATTGAATGTTTCTTTTTCAGCAAATTTCACAAAGGGGAATTACACGTGGAACTGTGCTCTTTCAAAATGGCTGGCACACTAAGGGTAGTCGAGCTCTGGAAAAGACTTCCACGGGGGGTTGTGAAATTCCCATCATTGGAGGTTTTTAATAACAGATTGGACAAACACCTGTCTGGGATAGTCTGGGTTTACTTGGGCCTTAGCGCAGGGGCTTGAATGGATGACTTCTCAAGGTCCCTTCCAGCCCTACATTTCTATGATTCTGTGATAAGCTAAGGGAACACTCTTGACCCGAGGAAATGGCCCCCAGCATAATTACATGCTTGCTTTGCTTAAACTGGCCACTGGATACTGTACACTCATTCATAAGCCGAATATTTTTGGTAAAGAAATGACACATCAAAGAGCAGGGATCGGCTTATAAATGGGTCTACACCAAAATGTGATGATTTTAAACTCTATGGAATCATTGAATTGAATATCTAATACACTGTCGTTTTGTTTACCTGGAGCGTCTGCAGGCACGGAGCCCCTCAGCTCCCTGTGGCAGCGGTTTGGTGTTCCCAGCCAATGGGAGCTGCGGGAAGTGGCCATTGGCTGGGAACGGCAAACTGCAGCCCTGGGAGCTGAGGGGCTCTGTGCCTGTGAACACTCCAGGTAAACAAAACGTCCAGGCCAGCTAGAGGCTTATCCTAACAGGCCGGGAGCCAAAGATTGCCAACCCCTGAAATATAGGGTCGGCTTATGAAAGGGTCATACTGCTTTTGCTATTTTTACCTCACCATCTTGGGGGGTCGGCTTATAAACGAACGGGCTAATGAACAAGTATATACGGTATTTTACGTGCACCTCAGTGAACAGCTTATAGAGATGTATCATCTTTGGTATAGGTTTGCATATAAAGCCATATAAAGCCTCCAAGCCTTCTCCTCAATAGGCTTCCACTGAGGAAAAAAAATTATCTTGGTGGCAACTTCTGAAGGTTCTGAACTCCTGAAAGAATTTTGACCATCCAAAACCTGGGGTTTGGGGATTCTCAACTCCAGTTTATGGATGGTTCTTTATTGCCATATTGCCCATTAGAATGGGGGATAACAGACTGGACCAAAAGATCAAGCTTCCTGTCCACAAGCTACGTATAGTATATATTTCAGATTTTGGCAGTTGACCGATTGTCTTGCTATATGCTATTTAAAACTTATTTCTCTGAGTTCCATGCTTTTGAATATAAATGAAAGAGAAATGAAGGTATGTCCGTCACAGTTCCGGG